TCTTTTCCGGGTCACTGTCGTCATAGCATGCCCGTACCTTTGAGTCACTGCCACATCAACATACCCATTTCGGGCTATTGTTTTCACGACATGCCAGTTCCTTTTGGTCACTACCGCCTCAGCATACCCTTTTCGGGATGCTGCAGTCACGACATGCCCATCCCATTGGGCCGCTACCGCCTCGGCATACCCTTTTTGGGCCACCGCCGTCACGGTATGCCCATCTTTTTCTGAGTCACTGCCACCTCAACATACTCTCTGTCACCACTTATGTCATTTGGTTATTTGCATTTGCATTTGCATGCTTGTATGGATAGCGAGCTAGGCTTGATAAGAGAGTGACTTCTATGTCGATAGCGATGCCTTAACGAGCATTGGTTGTCGGGTTGACCCCGGTGAGCAATGCGAGTTAAGTCAACAAAATTGACACGAGTATGACTGTGCTAAGGATCCAAGGGATCTAACTCATGTCACCCTTGCATGTTATGAGTCCGCATTTAATGACTCTTATTTAAATAAAGACAACATATATTTTATAAAATTTTTACTACATTTGCCATATTTTAAAATTATGCATGTAACAAAGTAAGCCTTTTGTGAGACAAACCCTTTTAAAATTCATCATTTGTAACATCCTTTAAATCCTTTAAATCTTTAGGACGGGGTCGGTGCGACGACCTCGTCAAAGTCATACATACTCGGAGACTCACCCTACACGTAGATGCTGGTTATGACACTTTCTCGTTAGATGGTGTGCTAGGCTAGGGTTTAGAATGTTAGGTAGTATTTTTGGACACCTCTGGCTATTGTTCTATGTTGTGTTGTCTTGTGCTAGCCATGTGTCACATTTTTCTTTTTGGTGTGCTTGCATTCTTGATGTGTATGATAGTATAATAGGGTGTTCTTTTGTAGGGAGTCATGCCCATACTTGCACACACACAGACACTGCTATGAGGGAACTTGTAATGATTTATAACCCTTTGATTTGCAGGTGTCATTAGCTCCCCCAACTATAATGCGCGACTCATTACACTTTGCACGACTTTCCTCGCTAACGTGTGATTTCCTGCTTGTTGAGTTTTTATTTTTGTTTCAAATGTATTCGATAGAGTCTTATGAAATTTTGTATCAGAAATAAAGTACGATCACGAGTTTTGAGGCAGATGATATATCAAACGATGTGACAGGGACCACGAGCAACAACTTGTATTTAGTACCATAAATCAAAAGTTTCTATATTTTTCTATAGACTTAAGACCGAGTATGTATATACAGAGTCCAATTGCTTTTCCTACTTTCCCGGGGGGTGTAAAAAGGGGGTTTAGTTTTTTTTGCCTAATCTCTCAATTTACCTCTTTTAACATCTCTCTCGAACCATGAAAACCCTTATTTGCAAGTCCTCTATCTTGGTCATCTCCTCTCACACCTTCAGGGATTCTGCAGCAATAACAAATCATTTATTTTACAGCGTAGCTTGCACTTCTCTTTTACCCTTTATTTTATTTACAAGTTTGCCATTTATGTTATCTTTTCATATACCATTGTATTCTCTGTTGATGTAAGCTGCATAAATGAAATAAAGAAAAGAATACTCATCTTTCCTCAACCTCTTGTCTATGCCATTCCCTTTTTTCCTTTATCGCTTTCTGTACTGGTTTCTCTTCTTGATACATTTTCTCACACCACACTAACCCTCAACCACTATCTATAATAATCATGCTAATTGCAAGTGAGTAATTGAAGCCTAATCTTGAAATAAAATATAGGATGATATACATCCAGATCACTCAATTCCTGATTATTTAGAAGCATATCTAACACCTAAACTTATACAAAACTCAATTTGCAAGACAGTGCCATTGTCCTATAAAAGATTTGAGTGGTAATATTGTAATATATATATATATATATAGAAAACATACAATACATTTCAAGGCAAAAAGGTTTGCCAACTTTGTTCAACCCCGATGTAATGGGGCAAAAAGCAACAAGGCATTTATTTGTGTTAATTAATTTAATTAATAAATTTTATTCCCCTTTGAACCCTATTGGTGTTGTCAATTCATACCCAACCAACGATGTTGCCCCCATCAGGACCAGCCATAGACTATTATCACGAATCTCACACGGCAACAAATGACCCACTTCAAATTTTGAATCAATGCGACACGTTTGGACCCTATTCAAATTCAAATTGGTTTTAAGTTAATTTAAGAGTCCAACAATAAAATAATTTTATTTCTAAAATAAAATTTTAAAATATTTTCTTAAGAAATTAAATGTGAGAGGTTTTTCATGTATCATGGGGAACTAAGAATATCAATTTTTCTCTATTTTCATAATTTTTAGAAGGAGCGTTTACATGCATTCCACACAATTCTTATATATTCATATAAAAAAAAAATCACTATTATTAATTATTATTATTTTCTTAAATGTAAAATATAAATTTTCATATATTTGTATATGACATGTTATAAATTATAACAATAAAATTTTAAGTGTTATATATGGAGACGTAAGAATGGTGTAATATAAATGTAAATTTGCCTTTTTAAAAAATACAATATTTTAAAAAAATTTCGGGCAACATTTTTGTGGGCCATGAGGCCCATACTTTTGGGAAAAAATATTACATCAGGACTCCGCACGTAGAGTTACGTGCGGAGTCCAATGAAATCACACCACACGTGAAGGTGAGAAAAAAAAAATCGGTCCGATAACACAAGAGAATATTTCCCCCGTGTTATTCAGGTGTTATTGCATGTTATTAATGCGTTATTGTGTTTTGGGAATATTTCTGATGTTATAAGAACACAATAATATATCAATAACACTTGAATAACGCATAATAACACGTGAATAACATGAGAGAAATATTCTCCTGTGTTATCAGATCGATTTTTTTTCTCATGTGACGTGATTTTATTGGACTCGTACATAACTCTACTTGCAAAGTCCTGATATAATATTTTTTCTACTTCTAGACCGATGAGGTCAAATTTGGGGACAAACCAAAAAAAAGTCGGTTCCCGTTAACTTAAAGCAACCCCTCACTGGCAGTTGGGCTATTTAGATATGGCATATCGGACCACGATGCAAATTCCATTAAATTGCATTTCCATGCTTCTTTTCTACAAAAATGTCTCCTGGGACCAAGAAAAAAAAATCAATAACTTCAAAATTTTAAAAAATAAGAATTAAATCAATTACATACCACAGTTTTTTATGTAGTTGTGCATCTAACATGTAAAATTTAATATTTATATTTAAAATACTTTGCTGTATTTAGGGCTGTAAACGAGCCGAGCTTGAGCGAGCTCAGGCTTAGCTCGTGTTCGGCTTGTTCGAAACTGCTCATGCTCGAAATCAGCTCGTGTTCGAAATTGGCTTGTGAATAGAGCGTTCGTGTTCGGCTCGATTTAAATATTTGTGTTCGTGTTCGGCTCGAAATTAGGTCGTTAAAATTAAATTGAAAAAAATATATGTAAATTGTTGGATTTGAACCAGGACCAAATGTATGCAAAAGAAGACACTAACCACATTATCATATAAGTTGTTATGATTTAATTTTAAATATAAAAATATATGTAATATATTATTATATAAATAATTATATATATATGCTCGTTTACTTAACGAACAACCCGAACACCAGATTTTCACGAACAACGAGCTTTTTTGACAGCGCTAGCTATATTAAGAATATTTAGGCATTAGATATGTAAATACATAAAATTTTTGTATTATGAACAATTACAATAATTTTCGAAGCCAACTACCAGCTGTTATAGCTACCAAAATCATCTCGTAATCTTATATTCCCTAATATTAGTGAAGAGTGAATGTACTTTCAATTTTATAGTAGATTATTTTGATTACGATAAACCCTCTGATTTTTTTTCATTTTCAGAATTTTTTCACGTAAAAAAATTAGTTATTTTTAATATATTTATTTATGTGTTGAAAAATTATACTAAGATAAGCTATAAGATGTCTCAGAAAGATGGATGAATTTAGATATTTTCCTTAAGAAATCTATTTCATTAAAATTTGATGATGGGTTAGGGTTATTCCTATAAAAGTTTATTTTTCATATTTTAAAAATCTATCATTTGCAGGAAATAAAGTTTGAAAACAATTCTCCAACAACAAATTTTAATAAAAAATCTTCAAATAAATTTAATTTAATTTTACATATGTAAAATATAAACTTTAATTGACTATTTATAAATTTGAAGTTAAAATTTTTTTAAAAAAGCTGATTCGTGCCTTTTTTTGAGTAATTTATGATTCTTCCATTTAATTTAAAATCTATAATTTTTTTATAATACTAAATATCTATTTATTTTTTCAAAATTCTTGAATGATTAATATTGCCTTCTTCATTAATTTTAGAAAACATAGCACCTAATTTTTATGCATTTATTTATCTCACATCCAAACTTTAATTATTACAATTTAGTCCCTATCTATAGGGAAAAAAAAAATATAACCCTCCTTCCATAAACCTTTCAAATATAGGAAAATGTGGCCCCACCCTAAATTTATTCTTATATATATATATATACCTCTAGGAGTGTAAATGAGCCGAACACGAGCCTTTCACGAACAAAGAGTCGTTTTGACAACCCTAATCATTTAGCCATAAGATGTTAAGGATTGGGGCAAGATTTAAAGCATCATTTGAGTCTAATTTAACAAATTTTATTTTATTTTCTTACTTATTACTTTTAATTGATTATAAATATTTATAGCCTTGTAGTCAATTAATTTTTTTAAAAATATTAATTATCAAAATATATATATATATATATATATATACTATTAGATTTTAATATATATATATATAGTATTTCGAGCTAAAAAAAAGTCAAACACTAATGAACAAATATTTGTCTGTGTTGTTAATATTCGACTCGTTAACTTAGCGCACGAGTCGAGCACGAACTTATTAAAGAGCTGAACACGAGGTTTTCTCGAACAACCAGCTCTTTTTACAGCACTATATAATACCTCACACAACTTTCGACCTAGCTATCATAAAACTCTCGACCATCAAAACCCTCCAACTTCCCTCCACATCCATGGCTCCTAATCTCCTTCTCCTCCCCTTCTTGCTCCTCATTCTCCTTTCCTCCGCCACCACCACCTCATCTTCTCCCAAAAAAACCCTAAAGGAAAAGCTCAGCCACCTCCACTTCTACTTCCACGACGTCGTCAGCGGCCGGAACGCCACCGCCGTACCAGTCACCAAACCGGCGGCCTCCTCCCAGCCCTTCTCCGCCTTCGGTGTCATAACCATCATGGACGACCTTCTAACCGAACGTCCCGACCCAAACTCTCAGCCCGTGGGCCGAGCCCAAGGAATTTACGCCGGAGCTGCCCAAGATGAGCTGGGCTTTCTCATGGCCATGAATCTAGCCTTCACCGCCGGCAAGTACAACGGCAGCGTCCTCTCCGTACTGGGCCGCAACCCGCCGTTACACCCGGTAAGGGAGATGCCCATCGTCGGCGGCAGCGGGCTCTTCCGGTTCGCGAGGGGGGATGCCCTGGCACGGACTCATTGGCTTGATTTCACCACCGGTGACGCCATCGTGGAGTATAATGTCCATGTTCTTCATTATTGAGGGTAAAGTTATAAAATTTATGTCCTTTAATATATTTTTGGATGACTTTATTTGTTTCTTAATTCAAGATTTTCAATCTTAGTCATTCAAAATAAATTAAATGATAGTATTGAATGATTTTAGTTTTTGTGTTTCATTACGTTTTAATGGAGTTTGAACATGGTAATGGGTTGTAATTGCAATTAATCAAATAAAATGGTGTGTTCCATTAATATTTGATATTAAAAAAATCAATAAAGTCCTATGCCTTAATTTGATAGTGGTAAAGATTTCATTTTTTTATTTATTATTGTGAAATAAATTATTATATTTAGGGTCCGTGTGGGGCAGCTTATAAGTGCGGCGCTAACCGTTTGGTTTACACATTTTTGAAAACGTTGCCTCAGGCCTCAGGTTGACCAGTGGGCCATATTTCAGGATAAACGACTTATCCTGAAATGCACAAGCTGCCTCAAACAGATCCTTAAATTGATTTTATATAGTTTAAAAATGAGATTTTGGTGTTACATGCAACAAATAGTGAAGTAATTTTTTTTTTAAATTAAAAGCAATTTTATGGGCCTTTTGGAAATGGTTCACTTTAGCCTTTAACTTATATGTTTTTTGATGAATGGATGTGGTCCACAATTTTGGGTTGGTTGTTGGCTTTATGCTTTTGTAGCATAAGATGCCGTTTTTTTTGCTTTGAAAGCAACTCACCTTGCTTCCTTCAGCAGTCTGCTTTCTTGCTTTTATTGGAATACGCATGGCTTCTATTTTACTCTATGTACTCGTTTAAAAATATTAATTTAAAATATACTTAAAATATTTTGCATATAAAATTGTAAAAAAAAATTAAAATTATCTCTCTTTTATATATCAAATGATTTCTTTTAAATTCTCATTTAATTTCTTGTTATATTTACTATTTTAGTATATAAATTATTTGAATAATATTCATTTTCTTTTTCAAAATAATTAAGATTTAATGTAGTGGGTTCTGTGGTACACGTTTGAGATTCTCATATAGTCTCCCATGTCACGAAAAAATTATTTCATATGAACACCGCATTTAGAGATGCATGCGGTGTCTGATCTATACTGTCGATCACCGTTAAGATGTATTTTAGTGGGCCCCACTTTCATATTTTTTTTTATTTTTATTACTGACATCTCAGCATGCAGTGATCGTATGGAATAATTTCTCCATGTCAGGCTAAACTTCTGATTGATTATTCGGCTCACCAAAAATTGGAAGTTATCATGCTAAATGCTAACATGTGATGCCCTACACTAAGAAACAGAGAGGCTAATCCGGCCAAAAATTTTGGCCAACGGTTAAATGCGACGGTAGGCATTGAAGATATTGTTGGCTCGAGTGATTGTGATTTAACTCTTTTGTTTTTTTAATTTCTATTTATTATTATGAATTGAATATTAAGCATAGAAAGTAAATTGAATGATTAAGATTCTTCAATTATTGTGCTTTAATTTTCTTGATTTTTTTAAGGAAATATATAATTGAGCCTAAAAAAAGTTGCAAAGAGGCATATAAATTTACACCAAAAATTAAAATTTTGGTTTTATAAGTGATATAGTGATATTTTAACGTCATAGCGTTCTGCACAAATTCATCATACAAACAAATAATATAAAAATAGTATAAGAAGACACCAAAATTTTAAGCGGATAATCTCTTTGAAAGGAAAAAAAAAAAATCTAAGGGGCTTAATTAAATAAAAGTAATTCGCTATGTGTTTGTAAGTCTAGGTTCACTCGTCTCATCAACTAGAGAACATAAAATTACAATATTAATTTAGATTTAGCAGGTATAATTGGGCTATAATGAACGTGATTCTTGGCTGTGATAGCAATAGTTAGCTACAAAGATTATAGTTTGTTCATATAAAGGTGGTAATTGGCCACAAATATCGTGGTTGGATGTTTTAATATTGGTAGTTAGTCACAGAGGCGGTAGTTTGTGACTAAAATAGTATCAGTTGACCATAGAGGTCGTTGGTGATGGTTGTAATAATGATAGTTTGACACAAAAAAAATTAGTTGGAAGCTGTAATAGCATCAATCAGCTCACAAAGGGATTGTAGTCGGTGTCTGTAATAGTGTCAGTTGACCACATAAAATATAATTGAAAGCTATAATTGTGTTAGTTAGCCATAAATGTTGTAGTTGGTGACTTTAACAACGTCAGCTGGCAACATAAGCAGTAGTTGGAAATTGTTAAAACTTTGAACAACCATTGAGCCATAATTGGTGATCACAATAGCGTTATTTGGCCACAAAGACTGTACTTGGAATCTATGATAGTGTCAGTTAGTCACAAATGTTGTAGTTAGTTAGTGCAATAGCTTTAGTTGGTCATAAAAGTCGTAGTTAGAAGTTGTAATAATGTCGGTTTGTCATAGAGACTTAAGTTAGTGACTATGATAGCGTCAGTTAGCCTCATAAGCTATAGTTGGTAACTGCAATTACATCAGTTGGCCATAAAGGCTATAGACAATGACTATAATAGTGGTAGTTGACTATAAAATCTATAGTTGGAAGCGAGAATGACATCATTCGGCCATATATACCATAGTTGGTGATTGCAATAACAATAGTTAGCCACAGACACTACGGTTGGAAGTTGTAATAATAGTAGTCGACTGTAAAGGTCGTAGTTGGTTGCTGCATAGGCAATAATTGGCCATAAATGATATAATTAGAAGCTGCAATATCATCAGTGAGCCACAGAGGGTGTACTCAGTGACTCCAATAATGTCAGTTGGCGACAGAGTTTGTATTTGGAAGTTATAATTGCCTTACCTGGTCACAGAGGTTGTAGTTAGTGACTGTAATAGAGTTAGTTGGCCACATAGACCATACTTGGTGAATGCAATAGTGCTAGTTGGCCACAAAAGTTATACTTGGTGACTCTAATAGTGTCAGTTGGATATAGAAACCATAGTTGAAAGGTGCAATATTGTCAATTGAGCATAAATGTCATAGTTAGTGATTAGAACAATGTTAATTGGCCATAGAATCTGTAATTGGTGACTGTAATAGCATCTATTGGAGATAGAGGTTGTAGTTGTGTCTGCTAGCCACATATGTTGTAATTGGTGACTACAATAATGTTAGTTGGTCAGATAGGTTGTGGTTAAAAATTGTAATAGTGTCAGTTGACCACAAAGGCTGTAGTTGGTGACAGCAATAGCTTTAGTTAGCCATAAAGAATTACTTTGAAGCTGTAGTAGCGTCAATTGGTCACAGAGTCTAGAAGTTATGAATAAGTATTAAATATGACGTTATGTGTTTTAATCATATTTGAGATATGATATTAGTAGGCAAGAGTGGCCTACGGGTAGTGGTTGATGGTGGTCGGCGACTACGAAAGTTAAAATTTATCACCGAGTTTTCAATATGAAAGTATACATTACAACAATGATTGAGATACCAAATTAACAAGAAGAGGTCACCAACGATGATGAGCAAGGGTGGCTGATTTTGGTCGAAGACAATAAATGGGTGGTGGAAAATGGTGGTCAGTGGTTACAGAGGCAAAAAGTTATTGCCCAATTTTTGGTCTAGAAGATGCTATAGAATTTCTTCTCTTCTTCTCCCCCTCTTATGTGAAAAAAAGGTTCCATTTATAGCCTCTGAGTAGGGACATATTAGTCTTTTGGCGAATAACTTTCCCAACTACTTGATAATACAACCCACATTGATCTCCATTGATTATAAACATTTTATTTTAAGGATTTAAGGGATTTAATGACCTAAAAATTAAGAGCTTAGGCTTGTTGGATTTCTTTTGATGAGACACTCGATTTGAATATAAATTTATTAAATTTGGAGTACATTTTACTAATCAACGGATGATCCAAGGCCCCCAAAAGTGTTTTAATTGCTTAAGACTTGCTTGGATTCAGATAAAACCAATTTTGGTATCATTTAGTTCATCTTGTTGAGAAGGTCAAATTGGCTATAAACTTGTTGAAATTGGGTCTTTGATGATCTTTAGTTTGAATGTCAAACATTTCTTACCAAAAAATTTCCTTAAGATTCATGTCAAATGGTAAAATTTCTTGACGATGCATCAATTGCTCTTATTTTTTGATGATGTTTTTTTATTCAGTTATAAAATAAATAATTTAGAAATTTGTACTTTGAAGTGTTATAAGTTGTCATGTATGCTTTGATCATGTTATCGTTGTCATTGCTGGTTGTGGCATTGGTTGGGCAATAGTGGCTCGGCTTTTTGGGATCCATAAGTGAGCATGAATGCAAGCTGGGACACAATAGTATGGATAAGAATGAGAGGATGCGGCGGCTGGGGTATGCATACAATTGAGGTGTAGGCTCACAAAGGGATGTAAGTGTGCGCCAGTGGCAGTGGGCATACATGAACACATGCGGGGCATCAAGTGCACAATAGCGGGCCATATGGAAGTGAACGAGACAACGAGCAAGCGTGTGTGGTAGAAGACATTTTTACAACATGGGTGGACTAGTTGGGCCAAAGTGCAAATCAGCTGAATGTTGTGTAGTCTGTCAGGCTGGGACCGGGTTGTATGATTCCTCAAACCATTCACACATCAGTGTTTGGTATGTGATTGCGTGCACATGTCCACAACAAGGAGAACATGTTGGCACACACATGCCCATGAGCATTTTTCACAGTAATATTTTGATTTTTTTTTGGTTTTTAGTGCCATAATCTAAAAAAAATTTCTATAAATAGGCCCATTGCGAAGGAGATAAATCACACATCTCCTCCAAGGGTTGGAGTCCCTTTCAGGTTGCTATTGCCTCACCTTTTAGGATGTCAATGGAGTCCCTGTCAGAATGTTGTTGTCTCACTTTCTGGTATAATGTTTCCCAACACCAAATTCACTTTCAATATGCTATCTTTGGGTTGTTGTTTCCCAACATTCAAGTCCCTTTTCATATTGTTATTACCTCACTTTCTGACTTAGGTTATTGTTGCCTCTCTCAATGTAAGTTGTTATTATTTCGCTGATGTAGAATGTTGTCGCTCACCCAAAGTAAGTTGATATTACCTTTTCAGCTGTAGAC